GCAAGGCAAACCTGCAAATCAACAACGCAAACTGTCAGGACAACCACGCAAGATAATCTGAGGAAGGAGGGAAGAAAGCATGAAGGAACTCACAATTAAGGAAGATCGGAGGATCTGGTCCTCAAGCGCCACATCATCTAAAGCTCCGAAGGTGGCCCCATCTGTTTCAGGGGTCATGCCCCTCAGGAGCACCCTCGGGTCGACCGTGCAGTTGGTCACAGCTGTTCCCCTCGGGAGGGAAACCTGCAGGACCTCTGGGGGCATCTCCTCCGTCCCCGCTGGCTTTCCAGCCGTCGGCACATCCACGACCAGCCCGGAGGTGGAATGCTCATCCACGATCACTACCGGGGGGTCCTTCTTCGTGGCGTCCCCCTTCTTCGATCTCTTGGTAGCCGGGGGGGGTTCCTTGGCCGTCGTTTTCCTCTTCGCGGCCGCAGCATCACCCTAGGGCTTCTTGAAAAACGCACCAACGGGATTCTAGCCGCCCGCATCCGACCCCTTCGGATCCTTGCCCGACTTGTTCTTAAATCGAGCAAGGCCTTTCACGTTCATCTTCGAAACGGGGATACCTGCAAAATAGTGAAGGGTTAGGCCGACGGGTCAACAACCATGGAGCAATAACATCAAGGTAAAAAAAAAATACTAAGTACAAGACTAAGGGCCCTCGGTGACTACCTCCTGCTCCCCCGAAGGCTTCATCAAAAAGGGGATACTTCTCGTCCATTTCCCCGATGAAGCGATATCTCCGGAAGCCGAGGGCGAAGAGTTCCTTGTCAGCAGTGTAGTCTTTAATGGACACTTGCTTCGTGCGACCCTTCGGGATCTTGGCTATTATCAAGCCATCCTTCTCAAGAGAAGCGTTTCCAACCTTCGGATGCTGACGGAAGCGATCCCGAAGTTCCATCGGAAATGGGCTCTCGGAAACTCTGACATAGCATCACCGCTCCTTCCAGCCTTTATTGGATGAAGGCGCCTCTGTAAATAGCTTCCACCTAGCTATCTGCTGCAGGTTGGCGAAGCCCTCGGCATTCGCGTGACCCCCTCGGCAGAGGTTGAAGCTCTTGAAAAACAAGTCCAGGCTAGGGGTCACCCCTCGGGCCCAACAGAGGTTCAAAAAGCCCGCCACGTAGGAGTGACTATTGGGCGTCAATTGGCAGGGGACCAAACCCACGTACTGAAGGTATTCCCGAAGGAATGGGTGTAGAGGGAACCGGAGCCCCATCGATACCGACAGGATGTGCACGACGATGCAGCCCTCGGGAGCCCGGGACAACACATCATCAACTCCCGGCTCGACCACCACGGCCGAAGGCCCTACGTGCAGCTGCGTGACGTAGAAATCCGCCTTGTCCGCCTTCGAATTTATCTCGAGGGCCTCGGTGTTCAGCCAAGAATACCCCTCGGGCATATCAACGGACTTCCCTTGGTCGGCAGCCCTGACCTTCTTCTTAGTAGCAGCTTTCGCCTTCTTCGCCTTCGATCCGGGGGCTACTCTCAAGGGCGTCGGGTTAAGTGGCCTCGAGCTGCTTGCTTCACCAGAACCGCGGGGGGGGGGGGGGGGGGGGGAGGGGGGGGAGGGGGGGGGAGGGAGGGAGGACAGCCACTGTCACCCTCATCCTCTCCTTCTCTTCCTCCTCCTCTGCAACTTGTACGGCGAGGGCGAGCTCTTCATCCTCCGCCTCTTGCTCAAAGCCCTCGGCTTCAACTTCAGCCACTAACTCTTTCTGCATCTCAATGGCGAGGGAGACGTCACCACCGGCCGAAGGCTGCTCACTCAGGGACTCCGCGTCAGAGAAGACTTCCTCTTCAACCGAGGGCTCCCCCGATATGTCTTGGGAATCACTAGCGGACGACATTTTTTATAGGCTAATGAATACGGAAGTTCTAAAGTCCGAAGGCACCCTAAGAAACTCTAGACACTTAAGTCGAAGGCCACAGGAGCAAAACTCACCAAGTAAACGGAGAACAGAAGAGGGACTGACCTTGAAAGCTGGGGATTCAACTGAAGGCTGGAGTTTCTCTCTCTAGAAATTTTGGCAGAGCTTCGCTAACAATATGATCGCACAAGAGAAATGATGCCTGGCCATGTGGTATTAATAGGCGCCCAGATCCGGGCTTGGGCCCAAAAACCGGGCCTCCGGTCACAAAATCATCATTACGAGCCGTGGTTTCGCCCAACCGGTAACGCCGCCCGCGGGCGGCCAACGAGCACGCGCCACGTGGAAGCCCCCCTCCCAACGACTATATTTTGACGTTAGGTATTCCAACGGCTATATTTACAACGGCCATATTCTGGGAGCTCCCGGCTATATTCAGCAGACCACTCCTTCATCAACCAAGAAACTAGCCCCCGGGCTTTCTACTTCACTCCACTTCATCAAGAGGAGCCCCCGGGTGCACTTACCCAGAGATGCTCCCGGTTTATGCCCCTCATACTACATAACAAATGCCTTCGGGCTCACTCCTTCAGAAGCCCACGGCTTCATAACTGGCAGACCCCTCGGGGATTCCACCCCTCAACACTTTGAGGACCAGGTAGCCCCCAGGGAGTACACCTCATTGACGGATAGCCTACGACACACAGGTAACGAGAGCCCTCGGATACCCTCCTCACCAACTGATCAACAAACAGGGGACCCCCCGATAACACTTCAACTACTACTCACATTCATCACGCCCTCGATCCCCAGATTGAGAGACTCCCCTTCGGCACCTCCCAGGATATCAACATCAAGCCTCCGGCTAATCAACACACGCGCCCTCTGAACAAGGATAGCCTTCGGCATCAGCATTGTACTCCATTTCAAACCAGGGCTTCACATTTTCGATTCATCTTTGGGGGAATTCGGTGCACTCTTTTTCCCTCATTAGGATTTTTTCCCACAGGGTTTTTCCTAATGAGGTTTTTAACGAGGCATCCCCCCAAAATGAAACGAAAAGCGTCACCCCTCGGTTTCATATTGCAGGCAGGCACTACTCTACTCCTTTTCACCACTTTGCAAGTGCCTCAAGGAGTGGGGGACTGGAGGACCCCTCCGGGAAAATCTCTCAAAATACAAAAAATGTCAAAAAACTCCCACAACAAACGAGCATGATCCCTCAAGTCCCGGAATGTGGGTAACTGAGGGACCGCCCTCGGCTGAAACGTGCACACAACAAACTACTCACAAACTCTACAGAGTACAACGGAACAACATCAAACGGGCAAACACAGATTACTCCTTTTCCCTCAAGTACCTTTCGGCAAAAGGAGTGAGGGACCCTTGATGGAGTATATGGCCCAGGAACCCCCGACCCATAGAATCCTACTATTCTAATGGAGGCCCAAGAGGCCCAGGAAGCACAGCAGGCCGAAATCACGGCGCCCCAGGTACTAAGCAACCCACGTGGCACACTAGGGGTGCCTTCGCCCCCTGGCCGAAGGCTCCAATTCTCACAGGATGGCCAGATCAAGAAAACAAAGTTACTGGGAGAAAACGGCGAAAATCAGTAGCCCTCGGCACCTAGAGCACTCGGCACTAAGGAGGTCCCCGGTACTCAGAGCCCTCGGCTAATCATCTACAGCCGAGGGCACCTTTTCCGACATAATATCCGCTCCACATGCGCAAGGATCACCATACCAAGTACGACGTCCCATCCAACAGCCGCATTAAATGCGGCCACATGCGATTGCCAGCGCCAACCAGTTGAGGTGACCCCTCAGCCAATGGATGCTTGACACGTGTCCCTATCTGGCATTTATTGCTACTATAAATAGCACCACATTTCCCCATTTGTAACCCAGAAGCAAATACGCTGAATACATTTCTAATATACTCTCTCTCTCTACTTACTTGCTCTGACTTCTCTTTAGTTATTCCCCGTAATAACCCTTCGGATAAGCTATCCCCGGGTATACAATCCATCAACTCTCATGTGTAAAGTCCTCGAACTATCAAATAAGCCCTCGAACTTTCATAAAAAGTGCAAATAAGCCCTTTTACTGGGGGCTCTGTTCGGCCGTCGCCATTTGGGGCGATTTCCGGTGGAATTTTTTGATGAATTTTTTAGAATCTTATTCATTAAGTCTAGTTTATTCATACCAAAATTCAGCTAAAATATCAATCGGGAAGGCAGTCAAATGAATTTTTGAAGATAACTGCACAGTTAAACAGCGCAATATATTTCAAAAAATCATTTGACTGCCTTCTCGATTGAATTTTTAGCTGAAATTTTGTATGGGTAAACTAGACTTAATGAATAAGATGCTAAAAAAAATCCATCAAAATATTTCACCGAAAACAGCCCAAAATGGCGACGGCCGGACAGAGCCCCCTATAAAAGGGCTTATTTGCACTTTTTATGAAAGTTCGAGGGCTTATTTGATAGTTCTCCCAAAGTCTGATACTATCAAAACATGACATCAATTATATTACTCCTATTTAGAAAATAAAAATATGACAATTCTATTTAAGAATTCTGAAACGTTTTTAGTCCTATTTATTAGCACCATTTATAAAAAACATTAATAACTCGAAACAATCCCACAAAATATAATTGCAATCGTATTTTATTTAATCCCTACATAAAATGAAAGATGCCAGAGGAAGTAAATTTACAAATGCAAATAAAATAGTGGTTATGAGTTAGTACATATTGCCTATATTAGCCTAGGAAAAGTAATCTATTGATTAAACACCCATAGTAAATGATATTGTCCATAAGCGAATAATTTTACAAAGTGAAGGGAACTTCCTCTTCAATCGAAGCCAAATTAAACTTCTATTGAGGGTATCTCTATATTTTAATCGGGAGCATAGCTCTAGATTATAAATTTTACATTTTTTTTTTTGAAAATCAAAAGTATTATAAGAAGTATTATAATCAAAAGTATTATTTTACAAAAGTATTATAAGAAATTATTAGGACACCTGCCCACATTCCCTTGGGTGTAGATCCGCCCCTAACTTCGTATATATATACGTATACCCTCTATTTATATGATTATCCATGATCAATCATTGTATTCCAGCTTGATTGAGATAAGAAGGATATATTGGCGCACATGCATGCACCATTCCATTAATTAAATAACTAAAACAGAGGCCGGTCGGAGAAGGGACATTTAGAATGGGGAACACCGCCGGCGAAAATGAGGATGCGGCCAAGCCGCCACCGGCGATGGACGTGGAGAGTAGAGTCTACCCGCGGGTGGAAACACCGCCTCCGCGTCCATTCTTGAAGTCGTTCGGCAAAGCGGTGAAGGAGATTCTGATTGCCGACGACCCACTCCGGAGATTCAAGAACCAGTCACCTCGCCGGAAGTTCATACTGGGGATACAGTACATCTTCCCTATAGCTGAATGGGGCAGCGATTACAGGTGGGCCTACTTTAAGTCGGACCTTATCGCCGGAATCACTGTTGCTAGCCTCGCTATACCTCAAGGGATCAGCTACGCTAAGCTCGCCAACTTGCCTCCCATTCTTGGCTTATGTGAGTTGTCGTTCAACTCTTAAGCTTACCCTACGTTGAAAAGTTTCTTGAATTATTTCATCAATAATGTATTTTTCTGTTTGGACTTATTTAGAAATGATAGCACCGAATATCTCTCCATCAATATAATGCATGTCTCCAAGACTCCAACTTTAGAAAAACTCTCTCTAATTGTTTGGATGTTATAGCTTTTACCGAGGAATATATCGCATATTTTCTCAAATTTGAGTTTGCATTATTTCCCCCCAAAATGGGATGGATTCAAGCATTTCTATATATTTAAAAAAAGTTTTTATTCTTTTAATAATAGGACTATATGATTTTTATTTTTGGACCAAAACATATTTGGTCCTATATATTTTAGAACCTTTATTATGTTTTGAATTTATTTTGGGCAATTTCTATTTTAACAAGTGAAATACGTGCTAATTGAATTGACAAATGATCCGCTTTTACATAAGTCTCCAATATTTTTAGCATATAATGTATGTGTGGCGTGCATATGGCACTATCTTTAAAAGATATATAGTCTTGGTGTATCCCATTTTTGGTATCCATTTGTACATCACTATTGTGTGGTTCACAATAGTCCATCATTTAAATGAGTTACCTTATTAAATGAATTGTCCCATTTAAACCACACAATAAGGTGGGTACAAATGAGGTACCTATAATATTTTTCATCTTTTAACTTCGTGTCATTTAAAAAGTCTTTGGAAGTTCATAGTTGTATGTTTTTAGCTCTAACAAAATTTAAGAGCTTTACTAAAACTTAAGATCTTTTTTGAGATACTACAATCAGTAATATCTGGAAAAGAATATGTAGCTTTTAATTGTTAAGACGGAATTTGTGATGGTCACTAATATCTTTTTTAGTCATTAATATTTTTCACCCGTTTTTTTAATTGGAATGGTCTACGTTTCACGTTTGCCAACACACAAGTTTGATCATAATTCTTTCATTACTTATTAATAAGAAAATCAAAAAATTAAAATTTGAAAATTCAAAATGAGAAGAATTCAATAATATTTTTTAAATTTAATTTATAATACATTAATAAATAAAATAAAATCAACGTAAAAATGTGAATAATTCAAAAAGTACAATGTTGAATTTGAAAGAGAACTGGAGCCGAGATAGTATGTAAATAGTTTGATATGACAGATTCTAGCTTTGTACCACCCTTGGTGTATGCAATAATGGGGAGTTCAAGAGATATAGCGGTGGGGACGGTAGCGATTGCGTCGCTCCTCACAGCTTCGATGTTGGGGAACGAAGTGAATGCGGCGGAGAATCCAACGTTGTATCTCCATCTTGCCTTCACGGCCACCTTCTTTGCCGGAATATTCGAGGCGGCATTGGGCATTTTCCGACTGGGGTTTATAGTGGACTTTATGTCGCACGCGACCATAGTCGGATTCATGGCCGGAGCGGCGACGGTCGTGATACTTCAGCAACTGAAAGGCATTCTTGGACTTGACCATTTCACTCATGCCACCGACGTTGTCTCGGTTGTGCGCTCAGTCTTTACCCAAACTCATCAGGTACGTACCACATGCATAGGAGTATATACAACCTAGTTCCTCTCTCCGAAAAGGTTTGCAAAATTGACTTTTCTTGATAAATGAGAATCAACTTTGACTAATGATATTTTTTAATACAAAATTATTTTGAATATGAAAGTTATATCAAAATGTTTCTTATTCAATATATTTTCATCATAAAAGTATAAAATTTATAAATTATATACAAATATAATAATCGAAATCAATGTCCAAAGTTTGTCATCATTGACCAAGAAAAGTCAATATGGCAAACCTTTTCAGGACGGAGGTAGTATAATATATTCACCATGCATGCATGCAACAACGTAACGTATTGTATCTTGTAAAAATTCTACACAATGTTTCCTTCAAAAGCTAATGAATGAAACTAAATGCAAGAAATATTATACGGAGTACTATGTACTGCGTATATAAAATAAGGTGAACACTCCGGTACCTTTCTAAAAAATGGGGTACCGTACCTTAGTACCTATCATTCATTTCATTGGATCACATCACTTTATCATTTTTAATAAATTTAAATAATTCAACTCCTACACTCTCATTGGTCCATGTGGATAAAAGTATGGTACCTTATGGGTACCATAGAATCTACCATAAAATAAATAAACTAAAATAAATTATGAGAGTAGTTCTACACAAATTGTAACACTACATAAAAAACACGAGATTAGTGAAGATTTTTGGCAGGAACTTGCCAAAGTATTTTAAGGATTTGACAGAGATATGACCAATCCGTGCCAAACTCGTGTCACTCTCCCAATTTTTTGGAGTGCAAATATCCAATTTTAATTTCTTAAATTTTAAGGGGATCCGCCACACTGCTCCTATACGTGCTCCGTATATGTTTGGGTTAATTGTCGAAATAGGACTAAAAGTTGGTCACTTTGCACAAACAGGATTAAAAAGTAAACTATGTTTTGATAAGACTAATTATGTTTGTGTTGGACAAATATACCCTTGTTGCTATTGATTTTTTTAAATTCATAATAAAATAATAAAAAATAATAAAAATTCGTAAAAAATACTAAAAAATAATAAAACTATTTAAATAATAACAATTAAAAAAAACTAAAACGCGTAAAAAAAATCACCGCCACCTCTACCGCCCAGCACCACCACCTCCAGTCACCAAGGGAAAAAATGTCACATCCATTATGAATGCCATATTTATGGCAGATTCAATGAAAATTTTGACATTCTCAAAGAGTAATATGTCATTTTTTGTCATTTTTAGAAAAAAAAAAGCTATTTTTAGAAAAAATGACATTTTTTACATCGGTCGGAGGTCGTGGTGCAGGGAGGCAGTACCAGCGGTGGAAAGGTATTTAATTAAAAAATTAAATTTAAAAAACAACTAAAAAACGCTAAAAAAGCACTTCTGCCTCTACCGCCCCAGCACCACCACCTCAAGTCAGCGGGTAAAAAATGCCACATGCAGTGGGAATGCCATATTTATGGCAAATTCAATGAAAATTTTGGCATTATCAAAGAGTAATATGCCATATTTTTGGCATTTTCAGAAAAAAATGGTACTTTTTACACCGGTCAGAAGTTGTGGTACATGGAGGCAGTACAGGCGGTGGGAAAGGCATCCATATATATTTTAATTTTTTATGGAGTTTTACTATTTTTATTAATTTAAAAAAATTAACTTTTTAAATTTTTTATTTTATAAGTATTTCATTAATTTTTTATTAATTTTCTATGATTTGTTTAAATTTTGTCAAATTTATTATGAATTAAATATTTAATTATGACTTTTGACAACCTTGTACTCATATTTAAAAGAGGGGTAAGAATGGAATGAAAAAATAAGTATGTTTTCAATAGAAGTAATATGGTCCTGTTTTGGAATAAAAACATAACAAGATCTATTTTGGATTCTTGCCATAGTTTTACTCCTATTTGGAGTAATTTCACTATATGTTTTGCAATGCATACGTATAAAATGTCACTATACGAATAATTAAAATCTATCACACTTTTACTTAAAATTTGATCAGTTCAATCCACTTTTCATTTCAGTGATCAATATTACGTAGTAGTTTTTATATTTTACTTTGACCAAAATATATACTTCGTATGTATATACATATCTTAACCAGATTATATGTGTGCGTGTGTTAATTATCATGAAAAATATATTTATTTGGAGTCAATTACATAACGAGAATGTTGAAATGAAATGGAGGGAATATTTAGTTTCCATCAAGATCAAAATTTCTAATTTACGACTCTTAATTACTAATTCTCGATAATTCTCAAGTGTAAAAAGAACCGACCGGATCCGCCCGGATCATAACTAAAACTCCAAATTTCAGATACAAAAAGCTAGAGATAAAAAGGTTTAACGCTCTTTAATTTATGTTATAACATAAATTAAAAAGGTTTATGTTATAAAAAGGTTTACACTCATCAGGCCCTATAACTAAAAACATTCACATGAGACATACACAAAACTTTTTTGAATTCTTCAATATAAGTGTAAATGATGTACAAATCACATGAGACATACACATAATTAGCTAATTAATAGAAGGGGAATTAAACTTTGCACATCATTTTCAAAATATTAATGTGCGAATCCCATCATTTTAAAAATTGCGAAGAAATGAAATGCGAATTCTAGTGACCCTTAAATTTTTGTCAATCTTTGAATTTTGTAATCATTAAAATTTCATCCATTATGTATTTCAAAGGAAACTAATTTTTTATAGTATAAAAGTGATGCCAAAATGATCAAAATATTTTTTGTTAAAAATACTTCAACAAAATACATGACTTAACTTTCACAAAAACATACTCCATAGTAATCATTGACTAAAGTTTATCACCATTCACCATAAAAAGTCAGAGAAAAAAGTTTTCAAGAAAACATGCATGGGATTTATTACCCCACATACTTGGTGGCATTTGAGATTCTTTTCCAGTTTTCCTTATAAACAATTTATTTTCTTTTGTACTCTTTAAGAGCATCCCCATCTATTAAATTATTTAAGTTTTAATTGAATAATGTGAAAGATTATTTGAAAGATTATCATTGTGAGTGAGATATTATTTAAAGAGATGATTGATTGAAAAAGTATCCCAGATTCTTTTAGATCAATAGGTTGTAGTTAAATTACATTTAATGCATGATCTAGAAAAACTAATTATTTGTGTGTCATGGTAACATAGTTGATGAAGAGTTTTAAGATTTGAAATTTATTGAATAAATGTGATGTGACAATTATGTGTAAATAGAAAAACTATTTATTTTAAGATAGATCTCTAAGTTAAAGTCAACCATGGATGAAAGTTTTTCTTTACCAACAAATACTTGTCATGGGGGTTCTATTAAATACTCCCTCCACCCTTGACACTTTGCCATTTTTCATGTGCCACTAATTTTGTCACTCTCTCTTTTAAATAAAGAATTTGTGGTTTTAATTAATTCTTTCTCCTCTGTAAAAATCTCAACCACACAGTTTTAATTCATTAATCTCTGTGTCGGTCAAACTTGACAAAGTATTATGGGATGGAGAGAGTATAACTTAGAAGGCATACCGATAAGCTTTACTTATTAGTTTAAAAGAAGTTATTACTTAAAAAAGAGTTAATATGAGTCATCATTTGCATACATGTGAACTGTTTTGCACAAGTATGACTCATTCTATTCTGGAAATATAGTTTATAATTTATCTTCTTTTAGAAGCACGTGGATTAGTAATTTCTAGAAAAAGAAATGAAAATAAGTCTTATTTGGACAAACCAAATATGCTTTTCTCATCATAAATTCATAACTAATAAGTATGCAACTCCCTTAATAAGTATACTACTAATAACAATGATAATAATAATAATATACGTAATAAAATAACGGAATCGGTGCGTGACTATTGCAGTGGCGATGGGAAAGTGCAATTATTGGAATTCCTTTTCTGCTCTTCCTTATGCTTGCTAGGTTTCTGGTAAGTCTGATTCATGAAGAACCTATACTCATTAAGGCGTATTTTATAGAGTATATATACATATGTATTTATCCTTATTATTTGCTAGGTCCTCAATACAATATTGTTTGCGATAATACAATTTTTGTTTTATTAAAAAAAACTTATTTGGACATAGCAGGAATCAGTGATAAATAGTGAAGTCTAAGACTAAATAATTTATTTGTTGATTTGCAGAGCCAAAGGAGGAAGAACCTTTTCTGGATATCAGCAATGGCTCCACTGACCATAGTCATACTGGGAACTCTTCTTGTTTACCTCACCCACGCCGAGAGACATGGCGTTCAAGTGGTATGTATATGCATATTTTAAGCTTTCTTTTTCTTCCACATATATACATAATACATTCATGATTCATACACGGCTACAAAAGCACATTATGATACACTTTAGCAAGTACCAATAAAAGTTTATTAGTTAAGGTAAAGGAGCTGTTTTGGTCATTTTCTTAATAGACATATGTTTGACACGACTAACTAAAAAATACTTTTTTGAAGTTTTAAATACAAAATAATTGTTAGTTTTTAGTGACCGAAAAGATATTAAGAGAAATAAAAGATAAATGTTTGATAAAAGCTAACTACTCCCTCCGTCCCAAATTTATCTTCATAGTTACTATTCACACGGTCAACCCAAATTACTCTTAATCTTTTACTTTATATATCAAATTTTTATCAAACTTAAATTTTCTTGAACAGACTTTGTAGCGGATTTAATGTAGTTTCTGAATATGTAAATTTAATTTACTAAAAATAATCTGAGTGTGAACAGGGATCAAGTTGCTTTATCGTCAGTCAAGCATCGTAAACCGAACTACGAAGATAAATATGGGACGGAGGGAGTATTTGATTTAGTTTGGTCGGGTATAACAACATGTTTGGTACAACAGCCTGTTCTATATAATGAATGCTAAAATCTACTCACACAAAGCTACTCAATGTACTATTAAGATCTCAATTTTTAAAAAAGCTCTAAAAATTATTGCACCAGACATACAACAAAGAACTTTAAGAAATAACTTTTAAAACTTTTAAATAATACAATAGCTAGAAATAGAGACGCAAGTCCATCAAACATGCACTTAGACTAAAGATGAGTAAAAAGGAAAAAGAAAATAAAAGGAAAAAAGAGAGACTAAAGATGAGTTCATTTCAGCGATTATACAAAGTGTGTAAAAGTAACAATTTGCAGTGCCAAAAAGGAAAAATGAATGTCAACATCACAACTTTGACAAACATTTTCAGATAATAGAAAAAGTGAAAAACAATTTAAAGCAATCACCTCCTACTATAACTTTTAGTAATAAAGTGTCCAACTTAATCAGAAACACCCATATGAAAACTTTACCTTTATATTTTTCTAAATAAAAAGCAGTAACTCATTTTTTAAGTAATGGAAAACACTCATGGAGATTCATCACCTTGTCAGCCTTCTATGAGGGGCATGCTAATGTACTATAGGTGCCCAAACTAGCTAAGAGTAAAGAATTAAAGCCTATTAAGCAGGTTTAACCCCAGGCCTATTAACACACAAAAGCTGGATTGCAATACGGAGTATGATTCAATTATTACGTATACTGAGAAAACTACGGTGTGTGTGCAGGCACATAGGTATACATTACTACTCGTAGGCAGCGGCGGAACCAGACAATAATTTGAGGGGGTGCTCTTATATTTTTTTTGAAAAACAATTTTTTATTAGGATAAAATAAAAACGAGTGAAAAATAATTATTAATACATATAGAGTGAGGTTCTAATAAAAAGAGTTATTCCCGTGAAAAATGAGAACAGACACATTTTTTACTCGTTTTGGTACACTAGTAAATATTTATTTTACACTTTTTCACAATGAGAGAAAATTTTGATTTATTTATCAAATTGTCACCGAGTTTTTGATAAAATATAGTGCATTGTTGACTGATTTTGACTCATCGGATCTCAAGTTAAATACACAAGATTTATTCTCGATCAATTTTAATGATAAGAACTCTTTTTGTTTGATCCGAAACTTATATATATGTATATGTAGTGTGTTTCAAATAAAAATGCTATTATACTAAACAAAAGATAAATACTTATATTAACTTAAAGTAGTTTTAGAATTATTCTTGACATTAAATGACAACGTCCGTATATGTCATTATTAGAAGAAGAAATGATTAAAATTAATTTGAATTGAAGAAATGAGAATTTAAAATAAAAGATATAGAAATTCAAAAAGTGTGATTTAAACAACAGTGAATCCTAGAGTGATTTAATTGAACATAAATAATTACCAAAAGGGCTAAAGTCTAAAGAAGCAATAATGGAGAAAGCAAAAAAAAAATTGTTGCTCTTGAGAATTGAACCCGGACCATTTAGGTAGACAAAGCTCTCCCAACCTCCACCCTACCATTTGAACTATGACAACTCATACGTTCAAATAGCGAATCCACTTTAATATATGAATACTTTCTGAACCGAGGTTGAGATATATACATATATATATATACAGAACCACCGCCGGAGAAGGGGGAGCGCCAGCACCGGCTCGCCCCCACCTAGTTCCGCCAGTGCTCGTAGGGACGGTAGGGTCATAGTACTATGTTGTCATTCAAAAAGAAATTAAAGAAAGGTGTATGCATTTGTTGAATTCAGATAGGGGAGCTGAAGAAAGGCCTAAATCCTTCATCAATAATGGATTTGAACTTTGGATCAGCCTATCTCACAACTGCAATAAAGACCGGCATCATCACCGGTGTTCTCGCTCTCGCTGTATGCCCCATCACATTCATACTCTATTAAATACATACCAAGTTACCAACAATTTTCATAGAGAATGTTTTGCATTGAGTTAGGACTACTCAAATCTCAGTAGTTCTGACCAAATATTTTTGTAAACCTCAATGATTGAATGTTTCGTGGCGCAGGAAGGAATAGCAGTGGGTAAGAGTTTTGCAATGTTCAAGAACTACAACGTTGATGGAAACAAAGAAATGATTGCCTTCGGGATGATGAATATCATTGGCTCTTGCACTTCCTGCTACCTCACCACCGGTATATAGATGTATATACTCATTGTTGTAGAAAACACTAAACACCTGACACCAGCCAAACTGGCCCCTACCAGACTATTTCCTCCTTTTTCCTATGACTCAGTTCAAGCAACACAATATGCTCAAATTCCTAAGGTTTCTGATACTTGTGCATATCGGGATAGAGCCGCTTGACAGGAAATGGAGAAGTATCGAGGAAGAAGACTCTACTATTACTAATTTACTAGTATTATAGCTGTAAATATTATCATCGCCATTTTTATGCTTATTATAATTAGTTCCTTGTTCTTATTAGGAACCAAGCTCAACAATTTCATGCTAAAGCTCAAGTCATATTGAGTGGCCGATCTTATGTGTGACATGTAAATGTGTAATATACACAAGTAGTGGACCTAGTCTGGTTCTGTAACGATTTGTTCCTTGTAACGTAAAGGGTGGAACTATAACAGTAACAGGGTGGTAACTGATCTGATTCCGGTTCTCGTTTTCAGTTTGGCTCCGCGGTTCAGGTCCATTTCCAGTTCCGATTTCTTAGACTTTTAAATAGTCTAAGAAGTCCAATTTGATTTTGGAGGAATAGAAACAACTTTGGACCAATTCTGTTCCTGAAGCGAACACCCTTTCGAACTCCATGCAAAACAACCACTTGTCCCCAAACCGGGACAGGGACTACCTTTATCCATGGATTGAAATTAGAATTATGCCACAAATACGGGCCATATTGTCTACTCATATTTACAAGTTGGGATGTCATAGCACCTTATATTATGTTTAAGACCCTAGTACTAGGCAACTGGAAAAAACTTGGGCATGGCATGACAACTTGATATCTGTATGGGATAAATCAATTTTCACAATAATGACCGCAAAAGGATCATTTCTGTTTTAAAATCAAATTGCAGGTCCCTTTTCCCGATCCGCTGTGAACTTTAATGCGGGATGCAAGACAGCATTGTCAAACATAGTGATGGCATTTGCGGTCATGATCACACTGTTGGTACTAACACCATTATTCCAATACACCCCCATTGTTGTGCTGTCGGCAATCATCATCTCTGCTATGCTCAGTCTCATCGACTACAATGCTGCAATTCACCTCTGGCGCGTCGATAAGTTCGACTTCTTTGTTTCCATCAGTGCTTACATTGGTGTGGTTTTTGGTAGTGTCACCATTGGTCTGGTCACTGCTGTAAGTATATCTATCTTGTAATCCTCAACCTTCTTATCAATTTTACATCTCATTCCATTACCACCAAAGAGTATTTTTTCCATGGTAGAAGACTATGTAGACAAAAATGTTAAATGATGAGTAGCTAGTCATGAATCTTTATGAAATCAGATGGCTTGATCATCAATCTTAACTTCAATAATAATGGCAGGGTGATATTAATAGAATGCATGATAATGATGTCACATTAAGCAGTCTAGCTCGATTAGAGTGCCCTATCTGACTCCATAAATTTACTTTGGAGCTAAGATGAAAAGGAAAATATACTGTTAGGTTCATAAGAATGCAATTGTTTGGAACACAGTTCAATCATTTTCTACTTCGGTTAACTTTGGAATGATTTAAGGAATAAGTGGTATAGTTCCAAGCTGTACCTATATTATTCTCAAATGCATATGAGTCCAAATGTGCCTCAAAGAAGAAACCGAACCTAAGACAAGGTATTCCAAGTAAGAACAACTTTAAACCTACCAAAAAGGAACCTGGGAAACACAACTAAACAAGCCCTAGGTTTCTGATATGACTGCTGTGAATGAGTGCAGGTTGCATTGTCCTTGTTGAGAGTGTTGCTTTTTGTCGCAAGACCAAGGACTTCAGTTCTTGGTAACCTCCCTCATACCAACATTTACAGAAATGTAGAGCAGTATCCAAATTCCAACAATGTCCATGGCATTCTTATACTAGAAATTGGGGGTCCATTTTACTTTGCCAATGCAAGCTACTTGAGAGAAAGGTAAAAGTCTGAAACCTAATTTTTAACATTAATACCTCGATGCCAGATAATTAACTCGCCAATTAATAAACATTTTAATGTTGATATAGGATTTTGAGATGGATAGATGAAGAGGAAGACAAATTAAAAACAGCGGGAGAGGCTAGCTTGAACTATCTGATTCTCCATATGGGAGGTCAGTGTATTGCTAATTTGCTATCATGTATGCATGGTCCATGTGGGCTGGGCTCCCAAGTCTTGGGCTTGGGAGGTCCATTTACAATTGAGCCACTGCTGGGCTGAGTACAAAGTATGTAGAAATGACTATGTATGGAATCCGGTTGTGTGAGCTCTCTGTGGCCGACGAGGGTCTGGCCAACGGAGCCACAGCCGCCGGAGACACCTGGTTCTCCTGACTTTTGGATCATGTTCTGAGTTGATGCCTTTCTGGCCGATGGAGGGCCATCTGGCCGACAGAGGTCCCACTGGGTGACAGTTGTGACTCTTGTACTTCTGAGTATGTGGGCCCTGGGGTCTGGGCCCATATACTCCATCACAGTACATCACTATTTATAATGTTGTAGCCATAGTTGTCATGGCGCATGGCGACATCCATGGCGCACAAGCCATTTCCGATGGCGATGGCGCAAATATGGCGTCACCACGTGACAAAAAAACTTCAAAACGAATGATAAACATTATAATTCATCAACCCAACCACCAAAACATGATAAAAAAGTTGAATAACAACATTCTAACCAAAACAAGTGAAGTTAAAATAGTTTAAGTACTTCCAAGTTAATATCTCAAGTTGAAGTAAAAACTGCAAGTCTGCAAGTATTTAAAATATGAATTTAAAGTTTAAAGGACTTTAAATTGTTAATCGTCTCAAATTCTCAATTTATAATCAAACTAATAGTAAAGGACTTTGAACTAATAGTATTTAAAATCAAACCGATACCTCTTAATCAGAAAGGCTTTCAATTTCAATTTATAACTGATAGTTTATGCTTTATAACTGTATAGTTTATACTTTATAACTAAGTAGCACGGAAACGGGAAACGGGACACGTCGGAAACGCCATTTTCCAAAAATACAGGACACGAAACACGGGAGAAACGCGCAAATATTAAAAATATAGGGGTAAATTTATAAATATTATATATATATATATTTGTGAATTTTTTTATATGTGTGTATATATATTTACACACACACGCACATATATTTATAAGTTATATATATTTGTGTTGTATTATTAACACTGTCCTCCATCACTAGAGAATTAAAATAATCTAAGTTATACAATATACAATAAAATATTAAAAAATAATTGAATATACAAAAACGAATTGAATATCAAAAATTAATTGAATATAAAAACACTGTCCTCCATCAGACCATCACTACTTTCCGTGCGTTTCAGTTTACAGTTTAAAAACGAAGGAAAGATGAGTCGATGACCTGTGCTCTGAAATAAGTATACAAAAACGAAGAACGAAGACCTGCGCAATTAAAATAAACTAGCCGCCGATACCTGAACGATGACATGTGCTCTGGAGAAGCCGGCGAATGAAGGAACGATGACCGCTGCAGGGGACGACCTCTGGAGAAGCTGGCGACCGCTGCTGAAGCCTGGGACGATGACTGATGTGCCTAGGCCGTAGGGTTGAAGAGCGAAGAGCCGAAGATGAAAAAAAAAGTTTGATTTCTGTTTGAAAGCCGGCCCTAATTTTAATCGGAACTATGTTCTAAGTTTGGAAACGCGTTTCCAAACTTCCCAAAATTAAGAAACGGCCCAGGATACGCGTTTTTGGCGTTTCCTACGCTCGGAAACGTTCGGACGTTTCTGAAACGCGGAAACTCCCAGGCCCAGACGTTTCCGTGTGTTTCAGCTTTATAACTTCATAATCAAACTGATATATTACTTTATAACTATATAAACTATAAAGTTAGCTGAAGTAAAAACTATAAAGTAAAACTTCTTAATCAAACTGATAGTATATACTTTATAACTGTATAAACTATAAAGTTAGCTGAAGTAAAAACTATAAAGTAAAAACTTCTTAATCAAACTGATAGTTTATACTTTATAACTGTATAAACTATAAAGTTAGCTAAAGTAAAAACTATAGAAGTAAAAACTTCTTAATCAAACTGATAGTTTATACTTTATAACTGTATAAACTATAAAGTTAGCTGATGTAAAAACTATAAAGTAAAAACTTCATTTTAGCATAAACTATAAAGTAAAAACTTCATTTTAAATTATCTGAACATACTGTTATTATAAAGTAGTTAGCTGAAGTATAACTTTTATATACTGTTATTAGTGTTATTATAAAGTAGTTATAAGGGCTAACATACAATTTAAGAGTGCTAAGTGCTAAGAAAATTGTTTGTAAACTGAAGTTATAAGAGTACTTTATAACTGTACTCAGGATTTGTGTCCACAGGCTTTGTGTGTTTAACTTCTACTGTCCGCAGGCTTTGTGTGTTTATTTACTTTTGTTAGGTTGTTATAACTATAATGGGCTAAAATATTAAGTTTTATTTAGAGTTTTATTAAGTTAGCGTTAAGCAGGCCCAACAGCCCCAAAATCCCAGACCAAGCATCCGCTGATGTGTAAAAAAAAGCCTACGCATTGCCATGGCGATGGCGAGATTTTGGCGATGGCGAGACAATGGCGTCGCCATGTGTATACCCAGCGCCACGGCCTATTTCATGGCACATAGGCCATTTCCGCGCCTCATGGCGCATGGCACAAGCGCCATGGCACGCCATTGACAAGCTTGGATGTAGCTCTAACAGACTTATAACAAACATTAGGCAGCTCTAACTAATTATAACTGCTAGACTTAATGCTAGGCTATTACAGTAGTCGTACATATAGTATTCCTAACCATTCAAAACTTACATCCAATACTCTCTTGTTTGACTCACAGCTGTTGGCAACATTGATACAAGTGGAATCACCGTGCTCGATGAGCTTAAGAAAATTGCCGACAGAAGAGGCATTAAGGTATACTATCGTATTACCTAAGGAGTTTTCCCTTTCTAGGCTAGACTTTTTCATAGTCTGGTGCAATAAAAAGGCTCGATTCAAAGGTAAAACACTTGGAGTTTTGACTGATAATCAGTCACTGATTTATTGATTTTGCAGATTGCACTTGTTAACCCAGGAGCAGAGGTGATGAAGAAGATTAAAAAATCAAAACTGTTAGAGATGATAGGGCAAGATTCGATTTTCCTAACTGTGGGTGAGGCAGTTGAAGTATGCAACTATATGCTTCACTCTGGGAAGTAAGGTTCAGGGACAAATTCTGAGAGATGGAGCAACAGTGTTTGAGTAACCCATTTCTTGAAAGAACGTCCGCTTGGATCTTGAAAAACATGAGAGGAAAATAGAAGGGAAACTTAAAAGGAAAGAATATTTGAGTGAATATTTTAAAAATGGTTGCAACTCAATAAGTCAATTGTAGA